AATCGACCCTAGAACCAACTAACGGCTGAATTTTTTTGAAATATCTCGACACCTGCGCCACCTAACGGATTAATTCATCTTTTGTATTGTTTAGTCATCGGGTTCTGAGCTCATCGGAAAATTGGTTAAACATTGATTGCATGACTTGATTACATACAGGTGAAACATAATAAAAGTTTTTGAAAGGGTACTTTTTGAAAGATTTAAAATACTAGGCTTCGCCCAGCGCAATATGGTCTGGCAGCTACTATTTGCTGGCCAAAAGTAATATTTTAAAGTATCGATAAATCGATTTTTTTTCCTTCGTTCACTAAACTAATTCTCCAGAATAAAAAATCCATACACATTATTATTGCTCCAAATCCGATAACCCCACATTGGACCCGCATTTTCAATTAACAAAAATCTGACAATGCCACCTCGGAACCCCCCTTATATAAAAGTTTTTGGTGAAAATGAGAAAGTTATAAAGTTTGGTCGCCATATTGGATCCGTCATTTTGAATTTAAAAAATCTGGCATCATATTCGAAATCAGAGACCACAAAAACCTCCAAACAAGGGGTTTCAAATCAATTTGGTTACTTCTGGACTTTTGGCCAGCAAATAGTAGTCGCCGGATTATAATGCAGCGGTTGAAATTCAACCTCTAAAATTAAGGGCAGTTAAAGTGAGTTGAGTTGAGGAGGTGAATATACATAGAGGAGAGTTAAGGCCCGTCAACTGACTATGAATAAATAAATTCAAATGCAGCCGTCTACATAGCCAAAATTTGGCAACGGTAACGCCAACACATGGCAGAAAGATGCCCAACTCCCATCTTTTCGCGTGCGTCGTTCCTCAGCAGTTGCAAATAATTAAAATTATTTCATATTTTCATATTTATTTAAGAAATGAGGCTGTATCTATAAGATTTTAGAGTCTTTTATAATACATCAACAGTTTGTAAAATTCAATGTTTGTACAAAGTAAACTTAAAACTAACAATATATCAAATAGCAACAAAAGATATTATGTGAAACAGTTTTTTTGTTTTTATCAAATGTAGACAAGAAATATCGTTTTTAATTCAATTATTGATAGGAATATTAATTTATCTGTCGCTAGTATGTTAATTTCGCTGCCAAGCGTTCACTGTAGCAAGCACTGGTGTTACTCGCGATACTGTCAAAGTGACGCCAACGCCAACGCAACGCCAAAATTGTATGTAGATGGGCTTTTAGGGTGAGATGAGTTGAGGTGAACTGAGAAGTTGATGTGAAGTTGGTTAATGTGAGATGAGGGGAGTTGGAGTGAAACGGACAGTGAACAACAAAGCATAACTTAATATAACATGACATAATAAAACATAACATAACAAAACATAACATAAAAGCTCAAATAAATGTTTAGAGAACCTGAAACCACAACCAACTATTTTTTAACACTGACAAAATGTATGACTTTGATGGTACTTTGCGAACCTCCGTAATATATTTTTTAGACGTATAAAGTTTACGTCATACATACAACAATACCACACTTACGACACCGTTGTGAATACCCAAATAGTATAATAAAAGATAAAATTACATAATATAACGAGAACATAACATAGCATAGCACAAATTAACGAAACATAACAGAACAAAACATAAAATATATTTGTTAATGTTATTGTGGCTTATTAACATTTAGTTTTTAATATTTTTGTTGAGCCATGTACCACGATTGTTTACTAGGAAAAATTGAAAAAGCAACAAAGTCTAAGCGGTAGAAGTTATAGCAGCTATTTCGGAGATCACCACATCTCCTCATCAGACTTCTTTTTTCTAGACTTGAGCAGGGGTGTATGTATAGAATTGACAACAACAACCACAACGCAACAACAGTTTACGGGATGTACGCAGCTCAGTGATTAACGCTTCTGACTTTGCACATCGATTACTCTGGTTTAAATCGGGACTTTGGGCTGGCTATTCGAGAACTCTAATTTGCTTCCTATTCAACCATGACTAAACGGCCGGAGATTTATGTTTCGGGTCGTTGTCATCTTGAAATTTCTATAATAGGAGCAAATTATCGGCATACTCATCAAAGAGATTATTTTCAAGGATGCTCTTATACGATATGTGTACCTGTCATTTTGCCATCGACCCATTGCCCAGACCATACCCGACGGTGACCAAATTGACGTTATGTACTTTCATTTTAAGGCTTACCATTAATTTTTGGCAATTTTTTTGTTGACGGTGTTACGCATTTTTTTCATACAAAGTAAGTATGTTCGACCATTTCTTTGAAAGAGAAGCAAATGAGCAGCACTTTCCACTCGCAATTTATTGTACTAAATTTTAATGAGTTACAAAACTGCAAACCAATTTTTTTCAAAGGGTTTTAATTAAAAAGTTTGAAATTTTGGTGAAACATTGCAGAATTAATTTTTATAGTTTTTTTGCACAAAGTTGGAAATTTGGCATTGTATGGTTTTTGTTAGGAAAAGATTTCTACTTTCATAAAATAAATAATAAACATTAAATAAACTAAGGAAAAATAGCCAAAACTTACTAAAATGACGAGTCCTAATTTCTATTTTGGTCACTGTATGTATTCCTCGATTTGAATCGCAGGCATTCAGATTAGAAAATAATAACTGTTTATGGAGGAAATTACGATCATATACCAAAATCACTTAAAACTCGTAGATAGGCATGCCATTTTAATGAGCTGTTAAGGCGTCGAAACACCAAATACGAGACAAATACAGGACATTAAAAGAAATATAGAAAATTTGGCGTTCCGTATATAATAAATAAATTACCAGGACAATGGGTCACAAAAAGAGGACTGCCCCGTATAATACCATCCGGTTACCTGGTTACCGTAATTATAATATACATACATACATACTATGTATCAATTTTGAGAAATTTGAAAAAGTGAACAGACTTGATGACACATATTACTTAAGTTTGCTTATGAGTTTTTATGAGAAATGAGAATGAGAAATTCTTATGCTGTGCGTGGAATTCTCTTGCGCTTCGAGATTACTTTAACTTACCATTTTGTCAGCCTTTACGTTGTGCATAACTTTGTCAACGGCATCATCTTCGTCGTTGTTAGTAGCCATGCCAATATTAGCCAGCTGCTTTAATTGGCTTTCCTGTTCTTTACCCATATTGGACTCTTTATTTTTATATGCTGGACGGGTGGCTGATGTTACTCGTTGTACATGTCCAGAATTAACAAGATATTCTGCAACATCCATGTTGCCCAGACGCATATTACATGACTTGATTGGTTTTAGTAGTTCACCGGGTTCCACGCGTATCGAAACCAGTTTTTCAACAACGGTGACATGTATAAAATCAAGCACATCCGTGGTGTAAGCTCCATCGTTAGACTTGGCACAAATACCTTCGATTCGATATTTATGGGCTAATCGGGGCAACTTAGGGAATGGCGCAAACGGACGTAAGTCTTGGTATTTAACTGACTCCACATTGCCGTAGTCAATAAATTGTACAACGTAACCATCCGTCTTTTCTTCTTGTATAATGCCACGATATAAGCGTGTATCCACATGATACCGCACCAAACATCCCTGTCCGGGTGTGTACATAGCAACGAAATCTTTTGGCAACTGATATTCGCCATAGATTTTCATGATTTTTGCTCGCATTTCGTTTAGTAGATCTTCATCGTTAGCATCGTGCAAATAAATGATGGCCTCATAGTCAACATAGGTCGGCATGGCAGCAAAAATGGACTTGTCAATTGGTTTAGATTGAAGCCAAGCTTCAGGCGCTTTCGATGTAAAAATTTTGACTTCACCGCAGGTCTTGCTATTTATTTCGTCATTTAAGGTGAAATCCAGATCAGGGAAGTGTTTACAATCACGATATGCATCCTTGACAGAATTATCAGTATCGGCTATAACAAGGTCAGTTGCTGGCTGCTGTGCACGGCGATCGATTTCTGTCAAATGGAAATCAATGGTTAAGAGATAATACTAGTAACCATTCAACAATAAGCATCTTTTACGTGTTTTCAAGCGACTTCAAAAAAAGGGGAATATTTTTATGTACATATGTTATCAGATATCAGAGCACGTGGACCGTTTTCGATAATTCTCGGTTATGTTTTTTTTGCTTTTTTTATGAAAATATTCTAAAATGGCGCGGCACGCAGCAAACGTTATGCAAATGTTAATCTTTATACCAAAAAGGGAATTTATTTAATTATAAAAATCTTCTAATTTTTTATAAGGTCTGATGCATGCTGCAAAAATTTCAACAATAATTACGCGAAAGTGATTATTCGTAGCGTGCCTACTACTAACCACTGCAAATACATACGAACAGAATTACTTTCTCTTACATTATCGATGGTCTTCTGCAATAACGACACAATTCGAAATTCAAAAAATAAAAACTGTTACTACTGTTAAGTGGCTCCTGCATCTAACCCATGTCCTATCCTTTTCCAATCCTTACTTGCTACCGTTAGTAAGGATTACTAAAGTAAGTTCTAAAGATTAGACATGGATTCGAGAAGGATTAGAGACATGAGCCATTTAACAGTAGTAAAAGGTTTTATTTTTCGAGTTTTGAATTATGTCGTTATTGCACAGGACCATCGATAGGATGAACGAGAAACAAACTGTCAGTGATATTAACAGCGATTACCTAAATGTTTTCATTAAAATAGAGAGATAGGACATTCTATTATTTTGTTTATGTTTATGAATCTCTTCTCTCCATTACTCACCTTTCAATGCGGCATTGGTTGCAAAATTCTTATTCCACTCCTCTAAGGTAATTTCACCCTCAACCAACTCCATTTGCAGTAATTTGTCAAGTTGTTCTGTAACATCCAATCGTTGCACTGAATGCGCGAGACCTGCTTTAACTAAAATGCGATTGATTATTGAATGTTTCGAGATACATGGCGCTAAGGGATCTTCGGTTTCGGTGATTGTACCCCAAAGTACAATGGGCAATGAATTCGAGCCAGGCGTGCGTTTTCCTTGCAATGTAGCCGAAAGTGTTTCGAATGAGGTGACAGTATGCTTGAAACAGTCGATGGCCGAATGGGACCAAGTCGGCGTACCACCCGTTGGCTCGACACATGCCAAGTGACAGCGATGCGCCGAATTTGTAACTTGATCCCATTGATGGTCTATAACTCTGAGCTGGTCACTGGTAATACCGGATATAGTAGCACCAATATCCCGTAAGAATACAGTATATATATCACATTCAATTTCGGATGTTATCGCCACTATAATAGCACGGAACCATTCGGGCTGAGCGGTCGAAGATTTTGATTGCTTGATTGTATTAATTTTATATTGCGTATGCACCAAACAATGATTACCGACAAACCAATTTCTTGTACCTTGTGAGCAAAGGGAGAAGCTTGATGCATTAGATTGTTCTTCGTTTTGTGCCTGTTGCAATTGATTGTGGAATTTTTTAATGCCCGTTAAGAGGCTGGACACTTGTATATAAAACTCGCCAGGATCCACGATGTGCATAATCTTAATTGGTGTGCGTTTCAGCACCTTCACTGGGTTGCTATTGCCGCCAGCTGCACCCGCAATTGGATTATTATCTTGCAAAGACACATCTTTACCCTTCAAGTTGGCATTCAAATGCATTGTATCGAATAATGGATTCATAGGCAAACTCAGGCGTTTCTTTGATGTCTTGGAAATTTCAACCAATTGAGAACTATCGCCCGTCGATATGCAATGTCCATATTTAACCAATATCGCACCTACATTTATATCCATATGTTTTTTGCACACATGCAGTGAAACACGTGCTGTAGCTTTATCTGTTGATAGTACGATCATCTGTAAAATGGGATTAGCAGCCAATTGGTTGAATTCACGTATAGCTTCTGAGGTCCAAGCATAGTTATTCACTTGCAGCGGTTCGACATCGGCCAAGGTACACTTAATGGCAAATTCCTTTTCAGAGCGAAATTTGCTGATAAGCGGATGAATTTGGCGCCAATCGACATCTTGCTGTGTGCCTTCGTCTACGAGGTGTACGCAAATTTTACCTTGAAATACATACATATGTATATAATGATTAAGAGCAGATAATAAAATGAAAATGTTAAGAATATTTTCTTTTAAGTGTGTTTTAAGTGTTAAACAACTTACCACCACCGCGTATTTCCTCAATGCGTGCGCGGTGCCAAACGCCATCGATGCGCACAGCGCAACCCATTTGTAATGGAGCCACAAAAAGAGGTTGTAAAGGCATTTTTAAGTGAAGGTATTTATAATTCAAATCGGAATTTAGAATCGTTGCTGCTTCAATGGCATCCGTCTGGTAAGATATTTCAATTTCAAAATATATGTATGCATGCATGTAAATAGTATCCTTCAGAATTTGAAAGCAATTTTAATACCTTTATAACGTAGAACAAATGTGGACTTTCGATATGCGTCACTTTTACGGACAAAATATCCCCATTATGAAAATTATATTTTGGCAATCTTTGATTTGTACGCGCCACGGGAGATATTTTCTAAAAGTGTATGTAAAACAGATTTGTGAGTATATCAATGTTAATTGTTTAATACTAAAAAGATAAAAGATGCAGTTTTTCTATACATACATATGTATATGCATACCAGGTACTGTAATTGTTAAGATTTCTTTTTCAAAAAAGTCGATAAATAATCGTTATTCTTCATCGATAGGCTTTCGACAAAAAAAATTAAGTTAAAATTTTACTAAAATTGAATTGAATAACAGTTAATCAGCCTCATTGTGAGTGTCGTGCCGAGTGTCGAGACTTGAGTCTTATAGAAATTGCATGCATTGCTTAAAATTTCGAGCCGACCAGTGTATTAAAACATAAAAACAAGGTAGCACTGGATAGTTTTTGAGGATTTTCGTCGTTTACTTATTTCTGCACAACATTAGGCAATGCCAATGTTGTCGTGTCGTACAATTTAGTATAGTTTACGACTTACGCAATGAGGCTGACTTTTATTTTGTCGATCAAAATTGTTACACTAAAATTTAATAGGCTATACAACTGCATACCATATTTCTTGAAATTCTTAGTAAAAAGTTTGAAATTTTGGTAATTTTTAAACGAACACTGTTCCTCATCCTGACGAAGCACTACTTTCCAGGGTTAAAAAGTTTCTAACTCATTAGTAGCCGATCTGTTTGCACATATTGAATGGCATTTTATATTTATTTGATCACATAACAATGCATTACCTTAAGTGGTGACGGCATGTCCGCTGTACCTGACATCTCCCGCGCCAGGCCCGTGTATAAAAAAGAATCTCGCACCGAAATGGCTTCTTCAGATGAAGTTGTAATTAGATCCACTGAGAGCACATTCTCCTTGATGCGCTGGATAATACTGATGCGTACGAAATGATTACGTGTGATTTCGATTAGTAAATTATTAGCCTCCTCATTCCATGTCTTTCCGGCAGGCATTATATCATGAATGGCGCAACGGATAGCGCCAAAGGGAATGCTAAGAGATTTTGTATCGATTTCACAGAATCTGAAAGTAGAGACACTCAAAATGGTTATTTAATTTATTGTTAATAACCCCAAATCGACCCATACCTATCTTTCGGCATCTCTACATGGAAACCTATATCGACTAAGAACACTCTATATAGATCTTGCGATAGTGCCTTCTTCACCATAGCACGATACCATTGCTTATCATCGGCATGGTATATCATATAACATTGACCCTCAGCGATTAGCTTAGGTATAACATCGGTTTGCATGAAATTCACGTACTTATTAGAGAGTTCACGTATTACGCTTATCGCATTCTTAGTTTGTACAAAGAAATGTTCGGGCGATTTTACATGGCTAATTCGCACCAATTCCTTGTCGCGCAATAACGGCAGTTTTGCTTCAGTGTCCGATGTATTGGATCCTTCATCTTCATTGTCATTGCGTCGTAGTGCCAGCTTTTTCTTTTTATTTCGTTCATTATTTTTGCGCTTGTGCTTTTCAATGTAACAGTCTACATCCATTTCATCGCTTGAATCTGATTTTATATCGCGGAAAGTTTGATTCAAGTCACTATATACGGAAGCTAGCCGTATTTTAAGCTGTGGATCGTTGTAATCGTAAATGAAAGACTTGGAAAAATCTTTGCGAAAATCGTATTTCACCTCAAAGCTAAAATTAAAAGTATAGCATTATAGGAGTTAGCAAATAATAATTTAAATGACATAGCTCACATAAAAGGATTTTTGGTAACTTTCGATATTTGTGCTCGACATTCTATCTGTTCCAATTGGACATTGTAAATTTCGAAAATATTACGTAGATGAATATCCGTGGGTACTTTGTGCTGATATAGCTCTAATTCGGAGCGCATTTTCTAATTAATTGAAAAAGAAACACTACTTTTCTTATAAAATTTGATTAATTTTAACTCTCAACTTACATTTAAAATGCTTTGGGATTCGCCTAGTTTTGAAAATGAATCGCGTATTGTCTGTTGCGGTTTTAAACATTGACTATGGAATTCTTCTAAAATACGATGTTCCTCATTTTGTAAAAAACTGTGTAGTTGTAGGAAATGATCTGATATATCTTTGAGACACTGTGTTGCGTATTCTTCTAGCTGCGTTTCGACGGCTTTGACGTCCTAAAAATAAGAAATATTGAAAAAAAATTCACTAGATGATTTAAGTAAGTCATCAATATTTAATCGATGTAGTAACACAAAATAAAAATAAAAAAATTATTATGTATGTATATTTAGTATGTGAACATGCACATAAATATAAAATATAACATTGGCTTTTCGTTGTATGGAGAAAAACGAGTGTCTAAATTCCTTGTATCACCCCGTAGATATACTCTGATAAAAGGTTTTAGACGAAGTGAAAAAATTAGGTGGCGAGTTTTTTTTTTATCAAAATTAAATGAAACTTGTTTTAGCGTGAATATAAATGATCATCTATACGTACATATATTAAAATCTTAACAGACTGAGGTCTGTACATTATAGATATTAAAGAAAAATTAATATGGGGGTCTCTATTACAGCAATAGAAGCCAAATCAACAATGAGCCTCATTACGAGAGTCAGGTCGAATGCAACTCGATTTTCGAGAGTCGAATCGTATCGAAAACTTCATGACATTGCCTAAAATTTCGACTCGACTAGTGTATTTAAACCGAAAAACTTGGCAGCACTACATAGTTTTCGACGATTTTCGTCATTTACTTATTTCAGCATGACAGTAGACAATGCCAATGTTATCGAGTCGCACAATTTAGCCTAATTTACGACTTACACAATGAGGCTGAATTTTTAGAATTTTTGTTTGTCTGTCTGTCTCGATGTTTGTACGCGCATCACTCGAAAACTAACACATGAAATTTAATACAGTATTCGCCGACGTATTGCTAGAGCTATAACTTAAAATATAGGAAGAAAAAAAAAATTAGAAGGTTGCCACCTGTTTGAAAACTGCAGTTTAAGTAAATTGATAAGATAAAGTAAATATTGCAATATCGCTGTCAAAATAAAGAGGTTTAAGAAGACAGACAGCCGAAAATATTTTTGTGGAGGTAGCCACATGTTTGAAAATTTTAATTTAATTTAATTGATACGATACATGGAATATTGCAATATGGGTACCAAACTGAAGAGGTTTAGGAAAGTTGACTGCCGAAAATATTTTTGACGAAGGTTGCCACCTCTTTGAAAAATTCTATTAAATTAAATTAATTAAATAAAAAAAATATTACAATACGGGTATCAAATAACACAAAATTACCAACCACAACAATATCTTAACCCTCAAAAACTTTTATTTTTTTAATTTTGATTTTGGCTATCATTATTTTAGAAAGCACTATATTTAAAACACCATTAGCAATGATTCTGAAATAGTTTTCTCAATTTTATCTTACCTTTCAGGCTATGCTGAAATGGTTATGGTTTGATGCTGTACCCGAGCCGCCACATTGGAAAGAAGAGAAACTTTCTTTAAATTGTAATAACTCGTAAATTATCAGCTTTCACAAAGAAAAAAAAACAATTTTTATAAAAAAGTGGTTCTGCTGCTCGAGATGTCAACGAAAGTCCAACATTTAACCCTTTAATGCAGAGTGTGCCATATACATATGATACGATTTTGAACCCTTTCAAGGCAGAGGTAAAATCGTTCCCAACATGGTTTTGAAGGTGCTTTTTCTCGTGTTGACCAGTAGTCGTAGAAATTATTAATTTTTCAATAATTTTGTTACAATGATGAAATTTCCTACGATCAAAAACATATTGAGAAAGATTGTGTCTTCTCCATGAAAGGGTTAAAAGTGTGCATTAAATAGTGAAATTGAATCAGTTTCAAAACCAAACATTTTAAAAACGTTTAAAGTCAGACTTTTAAATTGTGGAATTAGAAGTAATATGAAATCATGGAAACCCTCAAAGTCTCGAACCAATTCCGAAAAAGTCTTGAAATCATTACCTAACAAGTAAAATGCCAAAATTACCGTTTATTCATACGCTGAAACGTTTATTATTTAGAAGCCCACTAAATACCTTAGTACTTGAAGGATTTGGCTTCATGTGACATTTCCAATTGGCACAGAAGAGAGACGATTGGCGTGCTTTGTTGAACTCGAGCAAACTCGTTTAGGCGATTAGAGCGCCAAACAGGAAGAAGAAGTTTTACACATTCCCATCATACAGGCATTTTCTTTACAATATTCACGTTTTTCATAAAAATAATTTTTCGTTAATTTTTTATAAAAATATATAATAGAAGACTGATAATAGATTACATTAAAGAAACCACATTTTAGCTCACAATAGGTCTATAAGATAGTATTGAAACTATATATATATAAAAATGTGCCTGAAAGTTTAAAATAGGTAATGCTAAATAAAAGAAGTAATAATAATAATAAACCATTTAAATATAAGTTATAACTTTGTCTACAAATAAGAAAAACTCCTCAATTTTTAAGCGAAATTTTAAACTTTCTTCACAATTTTTAAGCTAAGCTAAGTTTGTTTTTTTATAAAAATGAACATACAAATTTTTTTATGAAGCAAAAAAAATTTAAATTTTGCTGAAAATTTTGCGATTTTTTTTTTTAGATTTTAGACGATGTGAGAAACTTATTAAGGAATTAATGAATGCACTTTCTTTTTATAGAAAGCGAGTAATTTCTAAGCAAAAAACAAAACCGACTTCAATTCTCATATAAAAATTTAAGATTATCGTTAATTTTTTCAAGATCAAATTATTGGATCTAAACAAAATTAGTATGGGACCACCCTTGAGGTACCACCCTTCCGATGAAAAACGAATTATCGAAATCGGTTAACGTGGTTATGCGGTAACATACATAAAAAAATATATTCCGACGAACCTGATAACCACTTTCTTTTGTTTTTTGAAGTCTGTTTTTTTAACGAAACTTTTATAATAAAAAACATGAATATTGTAAAAAAAACTTCGTACGGAATCTTTCTTTAATGCACAGGCATACATATAAAAGCAATAAACTCTTTTATACAAGTAAACAGACTTTGGTCAACCATTACAAATGCGAGTCACTTAAAAGTATTATCCATAAAATTTAGATTTGAGTGTTTCGAACTGAAAAGCAATTTGTTATTTGCTTTCGAGCATTAATTTTGATGCTGCAATTTATAATACTTTAATACTGACTTCTACACTCTAAAAATTTTTTGTTTAAATTTGCGCATATTAAGGTAGGTATTTAACCAGTTTCCTCTCTTAATGAATGCAAATTTAACACAGTGTGGTTAATTAAATTAAACATTGCTTGTTTACTTTTACGTATCATATTTGTGGCGTAGAACAAATTCCAAATTTGTTTGATGAATTCTTAACACTTAATGTTCACAACTTTACAGTTTACCCATAAAATGTCTAAAATTTTCTCTAAAAATAGTAAAAAGGTTTCCTCTCCTAATGTGTGCAAAATCAAACACTGTCCGTGTACTTTTACAAAGCAAATTCATGGCGCAGAGCAAAATTACACATAAAATGTTTAAAATTTAGTAAATATGAGCCATTAATGTTTATTATTAGTAGAAAATGTATTTTTTCTTTCAAAATTTTTGCAATTTTAGACATTTTATGTGTATATCTATGTGTATAGTTTAAATATCTAATGTTCAAAATCAAATCTTGAGCATCTCATGCGTATATTTACACATATTCTGGTTAAGAAATAGTACTTTTCAGTAGTAGTTTCACATGCACGTTTTAGAGTGTAGCGCACATTAAGCAGTTGTTGTATTTCATTTTTTTTTTTTGGTACATTATTTAGTTGCTGAAAATGTGTATTAACACAATACCAGCGCTATTCATTAAATGTGTTTAATAATAATAAAAAAAAAACTGTTAAACCCGTATACATACACATTTATGTACACATTAAAGCAAATTATAGCTCACACCAGCAAATACATGAAACAAAACAAAAGACTTAGGAAACGAACTTGGTAAATTTAACTGGTACACATCAACATACATTTTGCGCTATAAATGAAAACATTGCTTTGTTTGAGTAGCCAACTGCGAGCCATTTTGTGGTTCATTACACTAAATGATTTCAAATAGCACAGAAATTTGTAAATCTACTTCGGTGATGAGTACCGCCTTGCCCGCGGGCAAAGAGTTTTAAGCTTTCGATTCATTTTGTATGGACGATTGCAGAATAAAAGCCCTCTCTGCCCATCGCTGATCTACTTTGATTGCACATACAGAGATACACACATAGATTAGACGGCATCACCAAAAAAAAAGTTACGGTTTTCCACCGGGATTACAAATGTATTATATTTGAAGTTTTTTTGAATAAAAAGTTTCTCAAACGAGTTAAAAAAAAAAATTCCCTTAGGTGACAAATTTGTTTAAAGCTTAAAAAATCTGCATAAAGATATAAAAAAAAATTGCTGCCCGTTGTGACGGCAGTTTTGCGATGTCGAACTTTCGCCGCGTTGCCTAATGCACGTTTATTATTGCACAGAGGCGCATGCGGACCTTAGCTGCAACACGGTATTTAGTGATCCGAGTCGATGTTGGCTCTTCGGATAGAGCGCACGTCAAGAATGCTCGAAGCGTATCTTCCATCTATCACAACATGATCAATTTGGTTGTTTGTTCTTTGATCAGGGGGCACTCAAGTTGCTTTGTGGATGTTTCGATGCTGGTATCTGGTGCTACCGACTACCATGTTCCGTATCGCGGCGAGGTCGATCAGCCTCTCTCCGTTATCAGAGGTGTTGTTATGAAGGCTGAAATTTCCGACTGTTGGACCAAATATGCCTTCTTAGTCCAACCTGACGTCGAAGTCGCCAAGTATGATTTTAATATCGGGGCGGGGGCAGCGCTCATACGCTTCTTCTAGCTGCTCATAGAAAACCTCCTTAGTCTCGTCGTCCTTCTCTTTCGTCGGGGCGTGCACACAAATTAGGCTTATGCTATTAAATTTCGCCTTTATGCGCATTGTGGCGATTCGCTCACTGATGGGCGTGAACCGGCATACAAGGTGTCGGTGTCTCCGCCCAACCACAAATCCGACACCAAATTTGTGCGTCGGCTCATGGAAGCTATAGCAGACGTCGCATGGTGAACATTTTTTGCAGTC